TCCCCAACGCGCCATCCCCAGCGCTACCATCCCTAGCACTAGCCCGACCACCATCCCAAGCGGCGGCCCGATTACCATCCCCAACACCGGCGCTAGCCCAAATAGGAGACGACGCCCCTGCTGAAGTCATGTTGTCATCAGCGCCGCCGTTGCAACCAACGGGAGATGGCGCTTCTGCTGAAGAGTCGTCGTCGTCGTCAGTACCGCCATCGCAACCGACGGGAGACGATGCCCCTGTTGGAGAGTTGCTGCTGGCGCTGCTATCGTTGTTAGCGCCGCCGTGTCACAACCAAGGGGAAATATCGCCCCACAAGGTATGGTCTCAGTGCCACTGGTCTTGGTCTCAGTGCCACTGGTCTTCATGTTCCTAAGGGCATATTTGTCTTTTCCTCAATGCAAACTAACCGTCTGTGGCTGTGATAGTAAATCGTAGATATTAATGGAAAGACGATGGTATATTATGGATGTCGATAAAGTCAGCGGTATATCGTTGGACTGCACCAAACTCAGTGGTAATGAGTAGAATCTCTCATGGAAAAAGGGTGATGCCTATGCCATTTTTGCACTTCAGCCCCTATCAATATTCTTTATCCTATATCTCCTCTAAATAAAAGTATTTAAAACAATCTATGTTGATCTAATTAAGCCTAGCAAATTTGTGCCAAATGGCATGGAAGTTTTTCGCTTGAGTTATATCGTACTCCTAACTGACAAAGGTACTCTTTACTTGCTCTTTCCTTTTTGCTGAAACCAGCAATTTCTACTACGGCTATGTTTAGTTCCCTTCAAACTTCCAAAAATTCTGTCACATTAAATGCTTGGACACATGCATGGAGCATTAAATGTGGACGAAAAAAAACCAATTACACAGTTTTCATGTAAATTTCGAGACGAATCTTTTGAGCCTAATTTGATAATGTGATGCTACAGTAAATATTTGTTAATGATGAATTAATTAGGCTTAATAGATTCGTCTCGCAATTTATAGGCAGAATATATAATTTGTTTTGTTATTGGTCTATGTTTAATATTTCAAATGTGTGTTCGTATACTTAATTTTTTTTTTGAAAAGGAACTAATTAAACACGGCCTACATACCTTTTAATGCTTCTACACGTGCAACCATTCAAAATGATTTCTACTACATACCTTTTAATGCTTCTACACGTGCAACAATTCAAAATGGGAGTACTGAATATACGAATGTATGCCACAATTCCAATTCAAATTATGTCCAAACACATATGAATCAGTTATTCGATCCTTATAACAAATTGGATGGAAGCTAATATAATACTATTCTATTGCGCTAAATTAAATATTTGGAAATAAATAGCGTAAGAGCAAATATAGATAAGTGCAAAATAATTAGGCCAATTAGGCCGAATGGACCTTGGTACAGAAGGCCAATCAAATAAAATTAAGAAAGAAGATAAAATAAAAAAAATTCTAGACAACAGTTATGGTCAGAGAAACGTGAAACGTCATGTGTCATGAAAACCAATAAGTATATATCCAAATAAAATATTATAATATTATATATGAAAAATAAGCTATAGTCGTGCGAATGCGCGACTTAATAGGCTAGTATGTTTGATGTACATATATATAGTAGGAACTTGATTAGGAAGGGGTTAGTATGTGTTATGTATGCGTTTGATAAATCGATCTTATCGGGTCACACAACATGAATATACATGCTTGCCCAAGTGAATAATGCATGTAAATGGGCAACTTTCCAGCATTAAGTTAGTGACAGAAATTGTAAAATATAGCAATTACTGTACTTTAGTTTCTTCAATGGACAAACACAACGAAACAAAAAAAACAATTATATAAGATAAATTGGCAGAATTTCTAATTAAACTAAACTAATATACACAGTCTTAGCATACTTAATTTTATTTTTTTAAGTAATGCTATTGAGGTTCATAATACATGTATCTAGCTTTTTTTTCTAAAAAAAAATCATAATTGAGATGTCATGATCAGAGGTGCTGAGAAAATGGCACTATATTAGTTTAAAGGTAAAGATGGGGAAGAAGATAAACAAATTTACTGCAAGGTTTCTGTACTGTCACTGATCTATTGTATTATTAAAGTAATACTCCATCACATTTGCTTCTTGGACATAGACATTATTTCTATATATCATACATATACTTTTCATGATAAATTGTCAAAGTATATTTGCCTTTATGTGAGAATAATATTTGTAATGACAGTAGCCACGAAATCTGCGCAACCACCATACTAGTTAAACAAATCATTCAATCATGCATATGTATACATACGTGTATGTGCACGATGAACTGATACACATACATCAGCATCTAATGCTTGTATGTGGCCCTGGTCTTGAAAAAGTTATGGCAGATTCAAACCTTATCATAATCGTATGTAGGGATCTTTCAAGCTTTGCTGGGATTCCATATATTTTTTAATTTTTTTCAGTTGTTGGCATCCAAAAATATCCCAATATTCCCCATATATCTTGCTAGCTATAGTCCCCATTTAAAGTTGTTTTAAACGTTATCCGGTTGTACGCGCATATCGACCTACTTTATCAGATGGACATGGACACATATGCATGTATAATGAAAAACTGTGGTCTTCATGTACTTTGCTCTTTAATTTGTAGAGATCAAGCCGCCAACTGATCGATGTTTAAGTACAGCCGTACAGGCCAAATAAGTACCATTGTTTTGCTTACAACTAATTAACTATAAGCCATATATATTATGCCTATTAATTAGCAGTAAAAATATTTTATAAGTAAAATTTTTAGATTATGTTCTTACAGCTTAAAAACAATGCTGGACAACAATTAATGTATGATGAAAAAACAAACAAAATCAACTGTAAAATTAAGATTTAAAATTTTGGTTGCGTCCAATAAGCTACTCCCTCTGTCCTATAATATAAGGGATTTTGAGTTTTTGTTTGTATTATTTGACCACTCGTCTTATTCAAAAAATTTGTGCAAATATAAAAAAACGAAAAGTTGTGCTTAAAGTACTTTGGATAATAAAGTAAGTCAAAAAAAATTCTAATTTTTTTAATAAGATGAGTGGTCAAACAATATAAGCAAAAACTCAAAATCCCTTAAATTATGGGATGGAGGGAGTAAAAGCAAACGATAGAGCTGTATGAGTAGGTTATTAGCTAGCTACTCGTAGTTAGCATAATCATTTATCTGAATTGATCAATATTTTTACTGATTTAAAATATACCTGCACTTTTTTTCTTAGACCAAGTCCAACAGTTTAGCCTAGCATAGACTCTTGGGTAGGAGGAGGCTCCTGGACATGTATCAGCCCTCTAACTTTTAAGTTAGAGGAGCTCCTTCCTTTTGGATAATATATAATTAAGTGCATGTCATCTATCTAGGCACCATTCTATACACAACACTTGAGAAACAAAAGCTATAAACATATAATCCACCAAACTAACTTTTTTAACCCTTTATCCCTTTCCTTACTTCATGCAGCAAAACCTTTCATAATATTACGTTTTTAATTAATTCAATAATTAGCTAGGTAATTAAAGTTATGCCTTATTAACTTTGAAAAGTATAATTGAAACGATACTATATTCTTTAATTTGTCACAGCGTGACGAACATAGGCATAATTAAGCTTTAGGTATCAAGGTGTGTGGTGAGTGTGGTGCCGACAGTATAGATCGATCGATGCATATATGCACTCCTTTAATTTCCTCCCCAATTGGGTACGACGCATGTTCGATCTCTAACCTGAACAATTCGTAGTACTCTCTCAGTGATTGTAAGTTATTCTAATTTCCTCATGATAAGTCGATCAAATAAGTCAAACTACTTTGACCGAGTTTATTGAAAAAAGAGTCAAATTAGTTTCATTAATCCACTGCAAAATATATCTTCATAGTGTATTTATTTGTTAACGTGGATGTTGATATATTATCCTACAAACTTGATTAAAACTTCAGACAAAACTAAAATGGCTTATACTAATATGGAATAGTAGGATTAACTAAGGGGATGTTTTTGTTGTCGGCCACACTTACTGTATTTGCTACATCTAAGGTGGTGTTCTTTTCTCACGAAGATGAAGATTGAGTTTTTTACGCAAAATGAGATGGTATTAACATATGATTGATTGAGTTTTAATTGTTACAAACTTGAAAAATATATTAATATAATATTTGAGAGCAAGTTTCATATAGAAAGTTTTCGCACGAAACACACCGTTTAGTAGTTTGGAAAGCGTGCCACGAAAATCTTAATTTTAATCTAAGTCTTATTGGAGAAAAGAATGGGACCTAAGTTTAAACAAGTCTGACTTATTTGACGACTGATTGGTTGGGGTCATGGTTGGAACAAAATTTCCTTCCCCACAAATTAAATCCCATACATAAGTCAGGGACTCAAAAGTATGCAACAAGATTTTTCTTAGGTTTGCTCATATGAAACAAAACTGATCACCTGAATTTAAACAAGTATGATATTTTTTATTGGCAAATGGTGGCAAAGTGTGTCTGACGCCGAAGAAAGCCATAACTAAAACACACAACAATTTAATGATATTAAAACAAACACAAACACATGTACTATTAATTAGTACCAAGGACATGCCGTTTGTCTGCAAAAATCTATCTTTGCAGGCGGACGATAGCCTCACCCCATTGTCATTTTCGTAAGCGGCCGTTTGGCTCCGAGAGATCTATTTGCCTAGAAAAATTATTTGGCATCGTCTGAAAAAATGATTTTGCTATAGTGACGACAACGACAGAGGCCAATACGTGCAAACCCTACGCCGAAAGAGCGAATTGAAAGAAAAAGTTGGCCTCTCTCTTCACTGCTCATTTTCAGCGTGCGATCCACACGTCCCCCAACAGATTCTTATGCCCTCACCACACCACATTTCTCTCTCTAGATTTCTCTCTCTCTCATGCACAATTGCACAGTACACGATTCTCCTCTTCCTCTCTCTCATGCACGAACGCTATAAAAACCCATGTACACCCTGCACTCGATCGCAAGCCACAACAAACATCCATCACTGCAGCAAATCATCATCATCATCATCATCACATACACTAATCGATCGATCAGCAGCAGATAGCTAATTAAGCTTGTTTGATTAGTTTCGCCGGAGATCGATCGATATGGAGAGGGTGGCGAAGCTGTCGACGGAGAAGGCGGTGGTGATCTTCACGGCGAGCAACTGCCCGATGTGCCACACGGTGGTGAGCCTCTTCTCCGACCTCGGCGTCGGCGCCGCCGTCCACGAGCTCGACCGCGACCCGCTCCACGGCCGGGACATGGAGCGCGACCTCGCCCGCCGCCTCGGCCGCTCCCCGCCCGTCCCCGCCGTCTTCATCGCCGGCAAGCTCGTCGGCTCCACCGACCGCGTCATGTCGCTCCACCTCGCCGGCAAGCTCGTCCCCATGCTCAAGGCCGCCGGCGCCATTTGGCTCTAGATCGCTCATCATAATTAAGCTCAATTAATTAATTAACCTTTCTAAACTTCACTGTTTTAATCGCTACTACATTCGTTTTAAAATATAAAAATATAGAAGATTCTTATATTTTAAGATGGAGGGGGTATATTTTTACTACTACCGTTATATATATTATATATATGTTATTTACACATGTGCAATGCACCTTTGTATTGCATGCACGTGTGTAAAAAAAAGGCACACATACGAGTTTACCACTTACGCGAGTGACTGAGAAGTACTATATATATCTTATCTAAGAGAGATTATCTAAGAGAGACTATACTCACCTGAGGACTGCCAATATTTAATTGTTAGTTTGATATACATAAAGGGTGAGTGAGTTTTGCCGCTAGCTAGCATTAACTAGTAGCAATTACATATGAGGGCGAGGAATATATATAGCGAGTCTTTTACATGTAAAATAGGCTTTAATGTTATCCCTCTCCAGCTCTTTTTTCCAATGAGAGCTGTGTTTTGTAACCTCGTGATCGGGAATATAATGAAGCATTTTAATTATACATATGCCGGCGCCTAAAATAATTGTGTCATCTATACCATTCTCTTACAAATATATGATGCAATCTAGTGGCTGATATGTTGTACTAACTCTAGTTAATTCGTCTCTTTCTTGAGCAAAAGTTTCTACATATATATATGTGTGCCTCATACATGGAATTTGAGAATTTATCTGACAATATATATATGTAATACATATATATAATTTGCTATTCAAATTAAAGCATATATACATAACCACAACCCGCTAGGCAAGAGGTGAAAACTCGACCCGATTGAAATATTCCAACGAGTGCAACTGGGTGGCGCTGGGTCCATGCAATCTAACAAATAAATCTAGTAGGAATCCCTTTTTGAAGGCGATATTCTAATATACAAATGCACACGTACATATATATCTGCAATTAGATTGCATATACTACCCTCCATCCAGAAATATATAGAAGACGCGGTTTGGTTATCGATCCAATGTTGAGTTCAGACTAACGATTAATTCGATATAATATTTAGGTTTTATCATAAAAAAATTGATGCTGTTGGATTTGTGTTTGAAAGTGCTATGATTTTGTGGACTAACGAAATAGTGTAAGAAAAGTTCACCATCGAAGCTTGTTATTTTTCTGGGGTTGTACGTATATGAGATGGACGGTAAAGATGCATATAGATTTCCATTCGTGTCACCAGCTACACAAATCATCCATTGTTTTGATGATTTTGATCTATATGCATGCAAGGACACAACCGAATAAATGTCGAAATAATTCAGGATGTTTAATTTTTCACTGATTTCAATTGTAAGAAGAAGTCCTTTCCTTTAATTTTACCATTGTTGTTGATTAATGAACTACAAGACCACACAGGCAAAGCCCCTGCCGCATCAAAATTTTTAGAGTGCAGGGGTGTGTGTGTGTGTGTGTGTGTGTGTGTGTATAGGAATTTGAGTTATATATATATATTCCAAGTTAATTAATTTGATTGTTGGAGGTGTCTTCCTCTGTTTTTTTAGTACTATTTTAGAGGTTCCACTACCACTAACTCATATAAAAGTAATGATAGATGCTTCATCCATCACATTTTAGAAAATCATTAATCGTGAATTCTCATAGTATCAGATTCCATGTGACATGCCATTTTTGTCTCCAACCTATTTAGTAGATGTATGCAGAAAAGTAAATGGGCCGTTATTCATCACATATATTCTTGAGAGATTGAAGGAAGAAGTCCCACTCATACAAACTCCGTTTGAATTAGCCCAGTGTGAGTTGGTAGGGTGCATGGCCTGGCCCAACTGAAGAATAACTTGCTTGGCAATCTGATTGGATTGTAGGGATCATATATATTACTAGTATGATTTCTCCAACAACTTTCTACATTAGCATTATTAAATAACTATCTTGTTTGTAAGCTAACCCACCCCCCCCCCAAAAAAAAAACTTTTCTCTCTTTTAGTCAACACAAGTCAGAAGTGTTGGGATACGCGTAGGCTACGATAGTATGAATCAAAATTTCCTATCGTGTAAACCAAGAACCATGCAAGTATTAGATCATAGACCGTTACCACTCGACGCGCTGCGCAGCGGAAGAAGGCGCTAAGAAGTCGAAGGAATTCTCGCGAAGTAGCGCGCGTCGATGTAGAGAAAGTAGTCGATCGCACCGGCTCGACCTTCTCCTCCTCGTGCGTTCTCCTCGCCGTATTCCCACGCCGATCAGCACCGCAAACCAGCAGCGCCTCCACCGGTATCCACACGTACAGGGACGGAACACCACGCGCAGATGTGCTAGCACCCGCGTGCGGCTAGGGTTTTGCTCGGGGAGGGGAGTGACGGCTAGGGTTTCTCACGTGATGCAATGCATCCGCCGGTCACACCCCTCACGAATATATAGGGTCCATCACTCGGGCCTCCAAGGCCCGTAGGACTTCTATTCGGATCCCTATCCGAATTAAGCTCATATTGGATCTCCATCATATCCCCTTATTCCGGCCCATTAAGCGTGCGACCCTGTAGGTTCATGTATACTCGGCTGTAATCCGAAAACTCCTTTTCGGTCCACGCGTCAACAACAGCCCCTAGCAGAACGTATTGACCCACCGGGCATACATAAAGATCATATCGGCTGAACCTCTAGTGTATACTTGTATGAACCCCTTTGCCTCACGATATCAATTAAGCTCAAGGCTAGATAGGTGCCATCCTCTAATAGCTCAATCATTCACTTGAACCTATTGATAGATTATATAACTTGTGATTGACTCCTCAATCACCTTTGGCATGGCCATGCACTTCCATAATCTACAACATCGAGGGGCCCAGAGATATCTCTCCATAGGAGGGGCAAATCCCATCTTGATTATTCATATCTCACTACATGTTTCACAGCATACCCGAAAACTACTTTTATAACTACCCAATTACGGAGTAGCGTTTAGCAGTCCCTAAGTAAGCTACTACACATGTTGGGAACCATGATAATCTCAGGTCTAAGGATTCAACACCAACACTAAATGAGATCACTGATGACACAAACACATATGGCTCTTGCAGTGTCTCATGTTGGGTCTATCCAACAACATGTTCACCAACATGTGTCCACATTATTAATTTGGTATCTCTATACCATGATCCATAAGACATGATCATCAATTAATACATGTGCTGATCATTTAAACATATTTGTTCCACATATGATATTTGATCAGGGATCCTTTAGAAATAGTAACAAACAACATAAAGAGTCTCATGAAAGAATTACATATTCATTAACCAATAATGAGTTATCTATTTCAAGGAACAATGTCGGACAAATATATAAATATAGTATGTGATACAATCATCTTTATGATTGCTTTTAGGGCATATCACTAACGAGAAGTACTCAAAAAATATATCATGGTGAAATAACAAAAGACTCGATTTTCACCCTGATATATTTCATACTTTTTTATCGGTAAACACAAATATAATGGAGAAAGCATTCTCAAATCAATGGGAGGTGCTATTGGCAAGCTTTTCAGATAAATCAACGATATTTGTCTACTCACTACACGAGTTTTCCTGGCGGTTTGTGCCACTCAAGAAAAATCATAATCCTTGTAGTGATTGAATGATCCATCCTCTCTCTGTTGATCTATAAGCTAGAGCTAGCTAGCAAACCAATGTACAGTATATGCTAATTGAGACTAAACTATCTCTTCATCCAATCCAGCAGTCTTGCATCATCTCCATCCAATGCACATACATTACATTATTTGCCACATTGGCTGAAGTTAGAAGCTTCCAAGCATGAAGTGGTCCAAAAGATGCCAAAAACAAAGGAGGTAGCAGCTGGTACTATTTGTTCTCTATCTCTTTTTTTAAGGTGATACAATTTGTCATACATTAAGTAACATGCAAAACCAACAAAACCACCCAAACTTGGAGGCCATGTGACTTGTGAGAGTTGGTAGTGACTTGGAGGCATGGCACACTCCAAAAACCAGAGCAATAATATAACTAATCCATATCCATTGCATGGACATGATGCATGGTCTCTCACTTTCAAGTTATGAACACCCCAAAAAAAAAACCTCTCAAGCTAAGATGAGCCAAGCCAACAAACAACTAATAAATATGGAGGAGCCCTACACATGTCAATGCAATATTGCATTGCATCAACCAATCGGATGGCTCGGCTCTTATGGGCATAGGCGGATCTAAGGGTGGTCCTGGGCCATCAAAAAATTCTTAACCTAATATATATATATATACACATATGTGAAAAGAATTTTTTGAAAAAAGAAAAAAAGTATTTTAATATATTATGATGCACATATCCATTTAATATTTAGAGTATTTTAAAAAATTATATAAGTGTATCACACATATAAAAATTATAGATTCGCCACTGCTTGTGGGCTGTCCGATCTTCGATCGATGGCGTCGGGTAGGTGGACAGTGTACTGTACATCATGGTTGGCGACAGCAGATGGATGCAGACTACTGTTCGTTAGTCATGTTTGGCGGCTCAGGGCCCATGCATCATGTTTCACTGGCTTATGTGACATCCCGTGTGAGCACATGATATTATAGCTTGATATGGAACATCCTTTGGTTTTTTTTTTGTTAATTTATTCTTTTTGTTATGATGTGGTTCATGTTTCCCTACTCTTTTGTTTTATTCTAAATTAGTTTAGTAAAACTATCATACGGGATATTTGTTTGTCTCTCAAAACTATGGAGAAGACCAAAGTTTAGCCCTCATCAGCTATCGTATACGGTACCATTCGATCCCTACAAGATTAAAAAAAAGAAAAAAAAGAGAGAGAACATAATGTATACATATAATTCTTTTACCATTTTCCTTAATGAAATGTTTGCTTCTTTTTACGTTTACTTGATACTTTAATTTACAGTAGTTCTAATTAAATGTGCTACACTAAATTTTACCCCTATTAACCACCTCTTCAACCTATTTGGCAGGCATTGCATAAGAAAAGTTATGCATAAATAACATTTTGGTTACATGATATAAAAACATATGGTTTCCTAAATACACAACTTCAGTGAAAGAGACTAACTAAACTTTTCATTCTACTCGTTATACCTTAGAGGCTGCCAATCATGCCAAGTTAGAAGTTGCGACTATAGGATGGCATTCCCCAATTTTATTTATTGGGTGAAAATTCACACAGAATTAATCTAAAGCTAGTTTTAGGTCCTGTTTGTTTCCACTGCAAGGAGTGGATGAAATTTTGGATTTTCATGACACGCTTTTCAAACTGTTAAACGGTGCGTTTTGTGCAAAAACTTTCTATATGAAAGTTGTTCTAAAATATCAGATTAATCTATTTTTCAAGTTTGTAATAATTAAAACTTAATTAATCACACATTATTACCACCTCGTTTTGCGTGAAACACTTCATCTTCATCTTCATCTTCAGGAGATTCAAAGACCACCTTACTCTCAACGACCTGAATTAGTTCCTCTGTTGGTTAATATAGATTCCCATTTATATAAAAGTTTTCAAGCTTTGTAAACCTTTGCTAACAATTATCCTAATACAACAGTTATGCTTAGTGAGTTAGCCTGAGTTCGTTTCTTGCCGTTCCCAACTCTTATCCCTTGTTTTTCGCGTGCACGTTTTTCAAACTACTAAATGGTGTCTATTTTACATAAAAGTTCTAAAGGAAAGTTGTTTTAAAAAATTATATTAATTTATTTTTCGTTAATTAATCACCCTCTAATAAACTGCTCCGTTTTTTGTGCCATTGGGGAGCGCTCCCAATCATTAGAAACAAACACAGCCTTAGTGGCACAGTGGCATCAAAGCTTCAGAGTATTGTATGAAACCACATTTATCCTGAGGGAGTAATATGTACTCCCCTGTTTTATACTATAAGATATTTTGACTTTTTTAAGTCAAACTTTTTAAATTTAATTAAATTTACAGAAAAAACATAATAATATTTTTAACACAAAATAATCATATTCAGTGTAATGTTGCTAAATTTTTCTACAAATTTAATCAAACTTTAAATTTGATTAGAAAATAATTAAACCATCTTATAATATGAAACGGATGAGTGATTAGCTTGAGAATTTCTGTATTATGAGAATTTATGAATGAATTGGTTCTGTTCCAATAGTATGATCTGCACATAAGATCCTGACAAGAATACGGTTAGTTACAGTATCATGATGGGGTGTGCATTGTCAGATGGGATTGAATGCGGCTGTTGGCTGCGTCATACCCTACGTGTTGCTCCGCCTACACGCCTGTCACAACTCGATCTCATATTGCTTTCAACAACAACAAAAAAAAAACATTCATTATTCATACAAATTTGGGTTTAAAAATTCTGCTAAAGATTTACTCTCTAAAAAGTCCCGTGGCCTAAAATTACGTCGTGTGATTTTCAGTTTAATGGAAAGAAATTACTCCCTCCGTTCACAAATTTAACCTGATTTATCACAGCCTCTAACACTCCCTCTCAACAACAAAATCAAAACTATATTTCCACAAATTTCACGCTAAAATTTCTGCCAAAGATTTTCTTTATAAAAGGGCTTTGATTCTTTGTTTAAGAAAACGTTGCGCAGCTGCAAGTTTAATGAGAAAACAATTAGTAGTACTCTCTCCATTGGCAAATTTTAATTCCATTTTCTCACGGTCTCTAAGGTTAGTTGTTTTCATTGCAAAACACTTAAAAGTAGACAATTATATTCACACTAGGTTGCCCAACCTAGACAGCTGTCACGCATCCAGGACCTTCGGCCGCTCATCCAACGGTGAAGGTAAATGCTCAGGACAAAAGAAAAACAAAAATAATAATGCATATATCTCTAAAAAACATTTTATCCGTCATCTTCTTACGTTGGGGGCATCGCATAAAATTAGTCCCAAAATATAAATTCTCGGTCTATTTTCTCTCTTCACCGATAACAAACAAACCCACATTTTGGGTTTGTTTGAGGGAGTTTATAACCACTACATTTTCTCCCAAAATAAAAAATATCATACTTTAGCTTCTCATCTAAATTCTGAGAATCTGTAGTTACAAAATCTAGAAGCTCTGGTTTCTTCAGATTCTCAAATCTATTGACTAGTTGTTTATCAGAATTTTAAGCTGCTCAAACAACACCCTTTAGGGGTTAAAATGGTAAGAAGCGGTCGGAATCGGTAGCATCTCTACGTAAACGACCCTCGATCGATCGGTAATTGACCATGTTTATGATTTATAGTACTCAATCTCAACGTTAATACGATGAAAAAAAAGACGATGTCTTTTATATGAAAAACTACGCTTCGATCGATCCGGAATTTCCATCATTTCACCGGTTATGTCCATGCCAGTACTCTAAAATTCACAGGTGAACAGTAAAGTGGACGAAGGGGAAAAAAAAACCTATCAATTCCATTCCGTTCCACCTACTATTTGTCCTGCAGCTGCAGCTGAGCTGCCGTCTCTGTAGATCACGCACCTTTCTGGCTTTCAGCAACCCCCCTTTTCACCTCTACTCTCCTCTCCTCTCCCCGAGACCGAGACACCGAGACTGAGTCCGTGTGTGTGTGTGTGTGTGTGTGTGTGTGAGTGAGAGAGAGCAGAGCAGAGCAGCGGCTTCACCGGAGGCCTTCTCCCGTCGGAGGTTGCTGATTCTTTCTTGGTATGATATCCATTCTTTTATCTGCTGCTGATTCTTTCTCTGTTCTTTCTTTCTTTCTTTTTCGCTGTGGTTCTCGATGAATCCGAGGTCGAGCTCTTTCTTCTTTCTTCTTCCTGGTGAGGTCAGCATCTCCTGTTGCTGTGGTTTCTGGAGAGAGAAGCATATATCCTGCATTTTTTGACTGCATTCTCCTTCTCGCCTTGCCTGCCTCTCTGCTTTCTTGGATTTCCCAATGGAAAACAATCGATTCTATTTTACTTCATTTTTGTGGGGCGGTTTCTTGTTCTTGCCCCAAATCGAAACGCCCGCATTTTGCTCAACATTTTTATTGGCGTCTTAGTCCCCCTTTTTTTCCGGCACGATTTGGTGTGGTCAAGCCCAACTACTCCAGTCCAGTCAATGTGCTGTTTACTACTTATTTACTGTAAATTACTGCATTGACCCGTTTGCACATTGCAGCTCAGAGAACAAATCAACAATGTGCAGTCAGGTGGCTTGGTTCTGAGAAGAATTTGGGGGGAGGAAACACGGCTAATGCCGAATATGTTCGGGTTCTCGAGGAGCCGGATGAGGATCGGAAGGTGAAAAATTTGTTCCATGGATTTCACCAATTTGGTACTTTTGATCCAAAGCGAGCTATTTTGTTGTTTGGTGGTTCAAAATTTACTGTGCTTACATGAGGTGGCTTACTGTGATGGGAATCTGGTGGATAGATTAGATTGTACTCTCCCAATTTTGTTACTTTCGATCCAAAAGGAAAAATTCTTTTATTCGGTTTCTTGTGGTCTCAGTACAGCTATTATTTTTGGCAATCAATCAAGGACCTTCACCTGATTTAGTTCATGGCCATTTGCACATTATTCTTGGTTTAATGTTGTAAGTGTGGTCCAGGAACATTGCTGGTGAAGAATGCTTTCTTTTGGTAAACTTGCTATGTTCAGAATGGTAATGCTGATACAGCAAGTCCTATAGATCCATTGTAAATTTGCGGAGCCGGTTAGCTTTACGAAACCCAGTTAACCTACCGGTTTCAGTGATTTCGTCATATGCTATTTAAGTCTCTCTTTTTTTTTACAGTCAAATTTCCTTTTTACATTTTGGTGCTAAATCATATTTACACAATTGATTTGTTGTTACCTCGTTTTCATGATTGCCTTTCCTTTTAGAATAATCTTTCATGAATTTATTGTTCTTATAGATCGAAAGGGCACTCAACAGATCCTTTGGACAGCTCTAAGAGTCCTTCAGGGCTTGTGAAGCACCTCAGCCTGCCTAATGTGAGCCTTTGTAACTGAAGTGCTTGTCTCTAGTCTTAGTACTGATATCAATATTTTGGCAACACTTGGATGGTTTAGCACCCACCTTTGTTTCAGGGGGATGACCAAATTACAACGTCAGTGAGTGGCCGTGTAGATGATCTCGCCTTCCGTTGCTCATCTGACACATATGATCTCGACGACCGCGCTTTGGTTAGCTCACGGAACTGGGCTGTCCTTTCTACAGAGGGCAGTAGACCATCACCGCGTTTTGCGGTGAGTACACGTCTGAACTCTAGCTAGGATCAAGTCTGCAGCTTTCATTGATATATCCAGTTATCCACAACTCCACATATGACATATCAAACTCCTGTTTTTAAACAGCATGCAGCAGCCCTTGTAGGGAGCAAAATGGTAGTGTTTGGTGGCGATTCTGGTGATCAATTGTTGGATGATACAAAGGTAATGAGATTTTGACTTTTGTGTGTTGGTAGGGAATTTCACTTGAGCACTACCATTTATTTGTCCACTAACAGTTATGGTATCCATCAGATATTGAATTTAGAGAAGCTTACATGGGACTCTGTAGCTCCTAAGGTCCGTCCATCGCCAAACAGACGTCCGTCAAAGTTGCCAGCCTGCAAAGGTCATTGTCTGGTATATCTCTTGTATCTCACTGCTGTTGGTATGCAAAGGTCACTCTACTTCTTTGTTTTGATCAGTCTTTTCAAGTTATAAGGATACCTCTCCTCTCACCTTTTTTACTTCTTTTAGTAGTGGAACTAGGGACAGAAGAAATATTTATACATGGGACTTATATAGCAAGAACCACTTGCTTCTTTTGATGTCTAGGTCCAATGGGGGAACAGTGTTATTCTTGTTGGCGGTAAAACTGAACCTGCATCCGATCGTTTAGCAGGTTTGATCATACTACTTGGTTCTGCAATATTGGCCACTTCCAGATATGTTACATTTCCTTTGGCTTGCTGCAGTGTGGACTTTCAATATGGAAACAGAGGTTTGGTCACTTATGGAAGCCAAGGGTGATATCCCTGTAAGTTATGAGAAACATCAAGAACTACATTTTATTCAAACGTTCTCATGAACTAACAGAATTATCTTGTGGTACTGTTTGTAGGCAGCTCGGAGTGGCCACACGGTGACCAGAGCAGGTGCTACATTGATACTTTTTGGTGGTGAGGACACAAAAGGAAAGAAACGACACGACCTTCACATGTTCGACCTGAAGTCATCAACATGGCTACCTTTGAACTATAAGTAAGTCATTCTTCCAGGAACCAAGCATTGGCGCATTGCAGGAAAAGGAAGGATTTATAGATTTTAAAACGTAAAAGGCTCGTAGTAGCTAACAATCTATTTGTGTCCTAACTCCCAACTGTCCTGATTTACAAATATCAAGTTTCAGAATTGTTGTTTCAATTAAATTTGCATTCTTTATATTAATTGAACCTCAAAACTGTAGAGGCTCTGGACCTTCTCCAAGATCCAATCATGTAGCTGCACTATATGAAGATAGGATCCTTCTGATTTTTGGAGGCCACTCAAAATCCAAGACCCTGAATGATCTGTTTTCTTTGGATTTTGAGACAGTAAGTTGTATGAGATTTCTTGTATCTCACAAAGTATTGCTAAAGTAGATTTTCCTTACATAGTTATCTTCTTGTTAGATGGTATGGTCAAGAGTGAAAATCCATGGTCCTCATCCAACACCTCGAGCCGGTTGCAGTGGAGTTCTATGTGGAACTAAGTGGTACATTGCTGGCGGTGGAAGCAAGAAAAAACGTATGTTTCAAGCTCTCAACTTATGGAAATAGAATTGGAAATGAGGTCTATTTCAGTTTGTCTCTGAGAAATCACACTTTCACAAGAATGGTTTATCTTGATTATAGCAGTTTGTAACAAAAAATATCGAATTCTCAGGGCATGCAGAAACCTGGGCTTTTGATGTTGTAGAATATAAGTGGTCGGTATGTGTAGTACCCCCTAGTTCCTCGATTGCTACAAAGAAAGTAAGTTCTTTTCAATCTTGACACTCTTGTTATGGAAATAAATATAATTTTACTAAATCAGTGGAAAAATGCATCTGTTAATGTCAACTTTTCTCATAATAGTGATTATATTCCAAAGAAAAACTTAATGTATTTTTCTTCATGGCCAAAGTGAACTTATCATCTCATATTCGCACTAGTTGCCATGTTATCTCATTTCATCTTTTTGCTGAATAAGTAAAAAAAATCATGCAGGATTTCAGTATGGTTCCTTTGTACCACAGGGACAAAATTGTTCTTGTTGCTTTTGGAGGAAACAGAAAGGAGCCATCCGACAAGGTGAAATATCAACACTTTACATAAGAGCATTTCCTTGTATTTAGTTAAAGAGTTGAATCCTAAATTTGAATAAAAAAATGGTCAAAATGTACTTTTGCTCAAGGTATTAAAAACTCAACAAATAACTTTGTTACTGTCAGATTCTGACATTTACTTCTTAACATAATTCGTTCTTCAGACATGGTAGTTTTGTTTCTACTTGAAATGCGCCGGCAGCTGAATATGTGAGACTATCTGCAGGTTGAAATATTGGTGGTACTGCAAAATGAACATTCTTTTAGCAGGCGGTCTGCACCAGATGTAGATCCTTTACTATATGAATACTCTCCGAGCACCAAGGAGCTTGCCAGCCATCTTAACAACTGTGCTCCTTTGTATTCCAATAGTTCTGTTGCAAGGCACAGTCTCGCTTCTACGGTAGAACACCCACCTAGAAGGGAATTACTCTCTGAGCCATTGTTACAGAATCCAAATTTGGGCGCTTCACTCCACAGGCAGTTCCATCAATCAGAAGCGTGCAGTTTAGCCCAAAAACTGCAGAAACCGATCGACGATGACAAGTACGATGACACTGATGATTGTTCTTCATGTCAAGCAAGCACTGTAAGTGCTGCACCTTCAATTCAGTTCAATAGAAAAGTATATTATCTCTTCCCCTGCATAACAGATTTTGTAACTTACAGCCAAAAGAGTATCGAAGCAAGAGAACTGGAACTGATGCTCAGATTAACATGGCCAGAATTTTATCCAGCAAGGAAGAAAATCTGGAGACCACGGGATCAAGTGCAAGAAGGATAGCAAGATGCTCTTCAGACATTAGTCATCTATACAATACAAAAATAGTAGACTTGATCAAAAGAAGCTCTGCACTTGAAGACCAGCTTGCGACTGCCTTGGTGAGCAAAGAACAGGCGGAGAAGAATTTATCGTCGGTCATCAACAGCAGGGAGCAGCTGGAAAGGAGGCTTGCCAATAAGGAAAAAGAAGCTGAGATGCTGAAGGAGAAGATAGCAGGCTTAGAGTTGGCACAAGAGGAGTCAAACAACCTCTCGAACACCGTTCATGCCGATAATGTGCGTCTGGAACGTGAAGTGGCATTCTTGAAGGCCATTACAGATGAGACTCAAAAGGCAAGAAATGCTCATTTTGATTGTTTAATATGAAATAATTTAGCTGCATGCTTTGCATAGCTGTACTGACTGAACTTCATCCATGTAGGAACTCCATTCGACCCGCCGAGTTTTAGCGGGAGAACAGTCGAGGGCATTCCAGCTCCAGGTATTTAAATTTTGAGTGATGCATTACTGTCCCTTTATTCAATATTGCTTGCTTTTCTTTCTAAGTTGTGATGCATTAAAGTTGTGAAGTTATCGGTAAATTTAATTGAAAAATGTCAAGCTACAGACTTATGACTATCTATTTCTCAAGGCATGTCAAACAATTTGGATAATGAACAATAATTACTGGCACTTAAGTTTTCTTCATCAGCACAAATTATTGTTCATGCATGCAACACAAGAAAACTCACCTGACATTCTGATCGTGCTTTGATCAGGTTGAAGTGTTCCATCTCAAACAACGGTTGCAGATGGAAGGAAGAGCGGGAACGCCAAAGAACCCTCCTGTTTAATCCATAGTAAGCAACAAAGAGCAAAGTGTGTTTAGTTCATATGTTTACATCTCTGGAATAATAGTGGTTGTGTGTTTGTAACATCGTCTTGTACATCAATTTGTTACAGGAGTGGAGTGTATATGTAATAACAGGGTTCGGTTAACCATTCTGTTACATGAACTGATACAGATTTGTAATTTGGCTGAGATTTTGTGTGCAGTTGATGAATTTAGAACAGTTTGCTCATGATCTGGTGTAGATCCATTAAATTATTGAAATGATTTTTCCTATTTGTTCACAGGACTCGTTGCTTGCATTGATGTAAATTATTCCTAAGGACAAATAAAATGCAAATACCATTAGCTGATTGTTCCTAAGGACTTCACTTAATTCTGAGAACTAAATTCAGCAATTCAATCATCCAACATAAATAACTTGAAACCTTTGTCTAAATATCATCATCCACTGTACAGTTGTTGCTACAACAGCATGATCCCCAACTGGTTACACCATGAGATGACAGAATTACACACATTATATTACTCATCATCTTCATCTTCATCGTCGTCATCATCTGGCAAAGCAGTGTCATCGCCAATGCCTTGCAGCAAGGTGTCCACATCTTCACCAAGCTCTGCCAGTCTCGTGCTCAGCTTCTCCACCTTGCTCTGCTCCTGGCCCAGGCAGACGAGGAGATCGTTTAGCTCCGCCTCGCTCTCCTTCTCTGCCTCCTCCTTCGCTTCCGCTTTGATTGCTTCCACATCGGGGTAGGGTGCACTGCCTCCCTGCCGCAAGGCCTTCACTTCAGAGTCAAGACGGAAGTTGGCCTGTTCAAGGCTGTTGTAAGCATCTGACAGGCTCTTGAGATCAGATTCCAGTTTCGCTGCGAGGTTTCGTTGGTTGCTAGCTTCGGCTTCGATCTGGGTATGTTCAGCTCTGAGTGCCTCTATGCGTCGGGTTGCTCCTTCGAGTTCTTGTCTGAGGGATTCGATTTGGACCCTTTCTCGGCCACTGCTTGGTTTCTGTAAGGAATCAGCGGAGTTGCCACCACCAGTTCTCACTAACTCTTCTGCCAGCATTGCATTCCGACCTAGCAAGTCCTGAAGAAAAGTAAGTAATGCCATTGTTAGCTTCTACAATGTCGAATGCATTGTTGTAAAAACTACTTCCTCCGTTTCTTATTATAAGACTTTCTAGCATTACCCACATTCATATATATGTTGTCTAGATTCATTAACATATATATGAATGTGGACAATGCTAGAAAGTCTTATAATATGAAACAGAGGAAGTACTAACAGCCACAGCCAACCAATATCTGACTGACGTTCTAGGAACTGTTCATTGGTCAAGCGTAAGGTTTATGGGCATTTACAACTAGCTAGTATAGCGATGCCAGTATATTCTTGCTAAAGTGAAGTTTCTGAATATTCTCTTCAAAAACAAAAAAAGAAAAGGAAAGAAAAGAAAATAAGAATTTCCCTAGTCCAGTGAGTTTTGCAGGAAAGCATCTTAACGAATGGTAAGCAAGTAGTCATTTGTCTCCTTATCCTACAGGCAAAGTCCTTACAGACTTTAAAGTATAAAGCTAAGCTTTACCAAAATGTGGAAGTGACCAAATCTTTCCTTCAGATATGAAAGGATTTGAAGCTCATGTAAACTATTGTCTAGAATTACCCAAAACTGTTTATTTAATCTTCTCAGAATGCACTCAAAAGTAGGTGATCTTTAATAATTGACAGGAAACTAACCTGCATTTCATTGCATTGTTTCTCTACAAATGACTTTAGCCGCTTGATGTATTCTCCATCAACTTCCCCATTCTTCTGCTCCAACTCAGCAGGTATAATTGCAGTTGCGGTCTTTGTTCGACTAAATATATCCATTATATTGTCCCTAATATCAGTCTCAAGCTTACTGAGGAAACTAACAAAATGTGAATCAAAGATTTCTGACAGGACTGGATGCTGATCGCCTTTATTTATTTCTTCCTCTTCAATCTCTTGGAAATCTGACATACTATTTGCACTTGACCGTGAAAGCTGCTTGCGGTTCTGCTGCCCTGATGATGAATGTGCAAACCTTTTCCGCAACTCATCGAACCTCAAGAAGTATGTGGATAGGCCAATCTTCTGACTTATAGCATCAGCAACAGCAAAGGCATCTCGGCCCTTCTCCCGGCTTGCATTATACAGGACACAAGCACCTAAAACAACGGCAGCCAATCCACGAACACAAGCACTGTAGCGTTTACTTGAAGCAAGCTCGATAATGTAGTTCAGATGTACTGCTGATTCCAAAAGGCAATCTACGGCATTAGCACAATCCACAAGCCATACAATGAGTAACCGGAGAATGACTGGCTGAATATATGATTCTTCTGGTTGACCGCTTTGGCCATTTTCTCCTTCTGCTGAAGCTGCAATAGACAAACATGTAACAATGCGGTGCAGTAGTGGCTCAGTGCGTCCCAAGGAAGGTGCAGGTGTTTCAAGCTGAATTTGCAGTACCTGAAAAAAATGGTTTTAGAAAGCAATGCGTTAGGGTATACAAGAGATTGTACACACAACAAATCCTGCCTTCGTTAAATAGTAGATGTATAATTGAAAGAAAATAAGGCATATAAGATTTTCTGACATCACGAGGTGCAGAACAGAAGTACACAGAGTGCAGAATATACAAGAGTGCATTTACAATGATAACAAAGTCAGCCAGTAGGCATAACCTAACAATGAAATGGGATCATATAATTGAGCCTATGCACAATGCTAAATGTAGAACTTGTCTCAATGTGGTCACGTTTAGGCAACAGTAGTGAAGTTAAATAATCAATTATCAGCAGTTGGATAGTTGCTTCACTAGACAATTCTATAGTCTATACAATAATAATTCACTGAGATAAAAAGGTGTAAGGGAACATACACGATCTTTGCATTGCAAGTTGTCCTTGATTATGTGAGAAAGAACACTAGATGCTCTGCAACATGCCTGAAATTTTAGGAGCAAAAGTCATACTCAGCATAAGGGCAAAACTGCAGGTATCACAAGACAACTCAAACTATAATATCCTTTATTATCTAGACAAAATTCCTTCCTACAAAAAATGCTAAATGAGAACAGCCACATCATATAGAGTAGAAAAACAACTGGAGCAATGTTACAATCCTAGGTTGTTTCATAATAGACGCTATAGATATTTATGAATTCTCAACATGTATACTTTCATCATCAAAGTAGTCAACCAACAATACGCTTGAAGCATTAAATGGTCGAGCAGTTTCTTTGAGTATTGGTGGTGTCTTAGGTTTACAAAGACATTACCTCCATATCTCCATTATCATCACTTGACACCAGAGCTTGCAGAAGTATACTGTTATTACAGTAGAAACGTAAGTCAAAGATAAAATTCCATGCATGACAAAAATGGGACTTGTATACTAACCCCTGTAGTAATAAGATGCAACAGAAATACAAACTTGTATACTAACCTTCCAAAAGGCATGTCAGTAGTGGCCCCAAATGTAGCATGTGCTTGATTTGGATGTGGAGCAATCGTTGATGCTAGTAAAGCCTGGCCACCAGGATTTTTCTGTTCCACAAACAGCAATTGTACAGATTATTATTTTGTACCAATAATCTAATGTACACAAACAAGGAAGACCAAGAAGTATAGCAGACACTGCCAACAATTTCAATTCAAAATTTAGAAAAAAAAAATCATGGAATATTGGGCATCTGATCAAGAATTCCTGAGAGAGAAATAATGCTTCTTAGTCCATTACATGTTTCCTTTTAATACAGTGTACCTTTTTAAAAGCCTTTCATTCCCATTTCCATTTTGCAACCCAAAGTGCATTTATGTTTAACAATCTTCTTAGGTTGATCCAGAAACACTTTTGAAGTAGTATATTATTGTTGAAGCAAAAGAAAATACGAGAATGGAAAAACACCTCACAGAAACACTTGAAGACATAATCAGCAGCAACAAATTCTTGTGCTAAGGAGGTTCGCAAGATTATAGAAAAGATTGCACTGAGTGCAGGCTGAACATGAGGATCTTCCCCAACTTGCTTGCTCGCAAGAGAATCAAGATTCTGAGGATTTCTTAACACCAAATTACCAATGCATCGCAAGGCCTAGAAAAATAATGGTCAGTTGTGAAAAAAGCACAAAAATGCTCAATAGTACAGATTAAGTAATAGAACTGAATAAAACTATTAATGGTTTATATGTAACTCACCATACAGCGGAGAGCTACAGGGGCCCACTGACTCTCCACGCCTAACAGTAGAAGGTGATCCAGAATATTTTTCTGCCATGTTTGATTGAATACATAATATAGAAGCTTAATTATGTGTCATAACACATTGCAAAAGAAGAGTTTGACGGAGAAAAGGACACCTGAGCTAAAGCAGTTTGGTTGGTGGTCTTGTTAGCATCTTTACCTGGCTCACCAGATGAGCCTCCTCCCATCAAAAGCAACTCAACAGTATCTAAAGCACCGAGAAGATTTACTGTCTAAAGAAACAGAGTTCTAACTTGAGCAAAATGTTGCTAATGTATTATTCTAAGACAAACCAAACTAGGCATTCTTCTGAGGATGGAATGTGAGGCCAAATAGCTGAGCAATGAACAGCATACCTTTTGTTGAGTGAAATTGAATGCACTGCCTCTCCTTATCTTTAGTATTGCTATCAATGGATCAAAGCCGATTGTCTCTTTCAGAAGCATCTGATATCAGCATTAAGTAGTGTCAATTAAATTAGGCAACTTAAAAGTTCAAAAGATTTTGAGCCAAATATAAACCTGATTGGATGCATTTTGTCGGATTAAATTATTTAGCAGTTCAAGGCAATCCTGCTCCAAGGAAAGGAACATATTAGCAAACTTGCCTATGCAAGTACAAAAACATAATAAAAACTGACTAAAAAAGGTTTTAAACTAATGTCAGATAATTAACAACATTAAATCATCTAGTGGTTATTAGATGATCACCTGAACAACAACACCACCATCAGAGTATCCTTCCTCTCTGATAATGCTAAATATTTTCTCAAATACACCCTCAAATACCACAATTTTTTGAATTTCCTGAAAAAAAAAGATGAATTAATTGTCGTTTTATAATTATAGAAGTACAGTTTAATCAAGATTTATCTATTAAACAATACATCAACTAAGAATACGAAAAAAGCTCAACCTCAGCATCCCTGGTCAGATAAGTAAGAAGTAACAGTGCTTCATTCCTTATGACCTTCAAGATACAACAAAGATATCAACAATGTGAGCTATATAAACAGAATCCAAAGTAAACAGGTTAAACAACAGGTACACGAATAGAGAGAGGAAGAGAGAGATGGTAATAAATTGATTAAGAAATATGGAATCACAATGGAGTTAATGACTACCAATTACCGCAGCATAAGTAAATATCTTATCATTTGCAAAAAGAACTGCCTTTCAAAAGGCCAAGTTCCACTCTGGAATCTACAGTAGAACAAGGTGCTAGTGAATTGATAGTGTTTTCCAGTAGTAGTGCGTACTGTGCACTTGAGTACGCATATAACAGTTTGTTCAGAAGAATAGACACAAGCCCAGTTCCACTTGAATGTACAGTACTCATGTTGGAAGTCAAGCTAGCTAAACTACAACTGTGTTTTATGTGTACAAAGAGTGCATACAAAATAATTGCATGCACTTTCAGCAAACATTAGAATGCTATGACACAAGGACAGGCAAATTTTGATGGTAAAATAAGAGAAATGGCATGAATGGCATGTGTGCTTCCTCAGAGTTAAGGATGCAGAAGGCAGGGGAAGTTAGGGTTCAAACCTCCCGATCCATAAGCATATCCATTAAAACTGTTATGCCCCGGGGAATCAATAGAATTGCCTCTTGTAGTCTGTCATACGGAAAGAAAATAAAAAGGAGTTATAGAGGGCTCTAGCATATCGATGACATCTCAACAGAAAATGACTTACGGGGCACCTTTTCAGCGAGTTCGTAAGTAGCGCTGTCAAAAGCTGGATCGTATAGTACCGCACATAGAAATCCTCCTCTGACTTCAAAACAAGCATGAGGGGAAAATATGTCATGATTAAACAAAGGAGGTGAAGTCCATTACTTGCCATAGAAACTCAAATGTTCGCTCACCAATAAGCTCAAAAGAAGAGAGATATTCTCAGTTTCTCGAGAAAGCAAATCAGAGTTCACTGATGCAGGCTGAACCTCAGTTTTTGGTCCTTGCGAGGTTTCAATAGGAGTCAGTGCACTCACAAAGGTTTCTAGAGCACCTCTCACAAGCTCAACATCTTCACGGTCTTCTTTTAAAACGTTGAGGAGAACAGGAAATCCTATTTTCCATGTTAACAAATAAACGTATTAAGTGTCAACCACACATAACCAATAGCTGGTGAATGAATGGCTGGGCTTCGAGTAAGTGAAATACCCATGGCTCCAAATGACATCTGAGCAGAACGAGACTCTGCCACAAGCGACTGCAGCTCGGTCATGGCAGACCTCCTATCGTCAGATATGGTGCCATTGCTTATGCGATCAAGGAATCTCTCAACATAGCTGCAGCACAGAACACAGTCAGAAGAGCACTTTCCAAATGTGGCATACACCAACAATTTCCTTTTCTCTTCAAGCTAAAGATAAGCATGTGAGTGTACAAGGGAACTAGTAACAGCTTATACCAAAATGCCAACCAACCTGTCTTCCTTGGACTCGGACCTCTCATTTCCGAAAACAAATCCCCCAATCCCCTGCGAAATTGTACACACCAACACAGCATAAGGTCGAGAATTATCAAACCACGCCGATCGCCTCCCACATCATCGCAAGCATTATACATCACACGGAGCAACTACTACACACAACAAGCTCTGACTATCTGATACAGCATTTGAGAGCTTAGAGAGAAAAAAAAAACTGTAACGCCCTAGGTGTCTAGAACCCGCCCCTGCTACCGACGCAGCGCTCGCATCGTCGTCAGTCTCCCTCCCAACCTAGGGCGGATCCCACAACGCGCACGATTCATCAGGTCGGGAGAGGAGAGGGGAGGCGGGGAAAACCGCTCACCTGCATGATGTTTTTGCCGGCGTTCCCGGCGAAACCCCGGAGGTTGATGGAGCGGGAGTCCATCGGATCGCGGCCACCTGCGAATTGCAAGCAGCGAGGAACACACGCTTTAGTCGGATCACCCGCAGCCCACGGGATGGACGAACACGCGGCGGCGGCGTGGGGTTGGGGGCGACGCTTACCTGGGGGATAGAGAGAAGTGCGAGTGAGATCGCCGCAGCGGCGAAGGCGGCGGTGGCGGAGGAGGAGGGGATCGGGAGTTGGGGTTGGATTCGGAAGCAAGGCGAAGATGGGGGAGGGAGGTGTGGGTCTCGGCCTCGGCCTCACGGGGGATTTGGGTTTGCGCGATTTGCTTGAGCGTGAGATGACGTGGCGTCGTCGCGGTTCCAAATTTGGAAAAAATTTGGTCAAATCCTATCGTAGTGTCGACTAGTCGTCCCGGTCAGGTGTCACTAAGTTCTTGAGAGTTTAAATTGGATGTTGGTTTGGGATACAGAAATTTTAATATGACAAGTTTTTTTTAATAATGAAATTAGATTAATTTCAGCATTTGCTTCAACAACAACTACATAGTACATTAAATTATTATAAAGAATGAAGCATATAAGACTCTGCTTAACAATTTGAGATTTGAAAAACTTATTTTATGGACTCAACGCTTCGTTCATTTATCGATGAGTGACGAAGATTTTCAAGGCAAGCGAAAAAAGAAAGATCATTAATACATAACTAATTAAGTATTAATTATTATAAAATTAAAAATGGATTGATTTGTTTTTTAAACAACTTCCATATATAAATTATTTTGCAAAGTAGGTATCATTTAACCGTTTAAAAATATGTGTTAACGGGGAATAAGAAAAATTAAAGTTTGGAGTCCAAGGAAGATAGTATCGGCAATAACAAAAGGAAAAAGTACAAATTCCCCCGAACTATCGCGGTCGACCAAATTACACCTCTGAACCCGAAAACCAGTCATCGTTCACCTTGAATTTTTAATACCGGACAAATTACCTCCGTCGACCTAATCTAAAGCGGTTTTGGCCAACGTGGCACACGTATGACAATCCAGTCAGTATTTTATCTTTATCTATTATAAAAGTTTAAGATGTTTTTTTCAAACTATTTCGTACGTCGTATTATCCGATTTCGCTTCAGGGTCACGCCCCTCTTCGTGTTCGCTTGCAAGAGCCAATTTTTAGTCCGATTCCATTTGTTTCGCTCGGTTTGGCTCCAAAACGTGTGCGTCCACACGGGAGGAAGAGAGAAATCGGAAAGGAAGACAAGACATGATTTCTGACGCGCGCCCTTCTGCACGGTCGGTCTGCCTCCTAACTTCTCCTGACCTCCTCCTAATTAACCTCCTGATCAGTTTTAATCGATGAATTTTATCATGCTGTCACATCACAAGTTCAGTTCGATCAAGCACGTCTATGTCCGTGTAAATACAGGACTCAACATGTGAACCATCCCTTTTTTTTATAGGGCTGTTCACTTTGTACCAAACTTTTTCTGAAAATACAATATAAATATAGACACTCATAATACATAGACTATTACCCCTATAAACACACGTATACATACTCTACGCCTATAAGCACCCCCGAAAAACTGGACTGTAATTTATTTAGATTGATGAGGTTACCACAATTGATGAGGTCACCACAAGTGACTCGTTGTGGACAGGTACGTCGTATACCATTGAAAAATAAATAGTTGTAAATACAAGCACCCGTATCAAGTATAGAGTTTGAACCCAGGTGGGCTCAGTCTACCATAAGGTACATTAGCCACACTCACTTCGTATTTTGTTGCCAAACTTAACCCTAGCTTTAACAAAATCTGGTGAGGCAACAATCTAAATATCCATACGCGAACGATTTTTTCTTTCCGCGCACGCGGTAAGTCCGGTTTTTAAAGTTTTTTCCTCTCTCTGGTCCAATCCGGACGCGTGTTACACGCCCCGCCTCAGCTGCCAAGCTTCCGGTTTTCTTGGTCCATGTGTTTTTTTTGCCACTTTCTTTGCACACGAAACGGTTTATTTTCCGTGCACGCAGCAAGTCCGGTATTTTTTTGTCTTTTTTTCAATCTCATCTTGTCTGTCCGCACACACACAGCGTGCCCCGCGTCAGCCACCATTGGGCCGAACCCTAGCGCCACTGCCACGTCGTTCTATCTCCCCGTATGTTTCCTCCAATCAATTACAAAAATCGACTCCTCATTCCTCCATCATCATTTTCCCCATGATTTTCTCTGCTAATTTGACTTTGATACGCTAAATTTAATCTTATTTAAAAGTTGCTGATGATGGCCGGTCAGCGAGCTTGATTCGCTTCGATTTTGGAAAATAAAGGGAAAGTGGAGATTAAGTGGATAAAAACCCTCAACTAATTTTGATAGATCGAGAAATATTCGGCCGAGTTTGATGGGAGGATCGGCTCTGGCTTGTACGAGCATGGGACTACCTTTCGGAGGTTCAAGACAGCACGTGCGAACTGGTCTGCAGCTCCACTTGTGGGCTGGGCCGAAGAGAGTCAGGCCGAGTGGAGAGAGGTAGCGCATTGGGCTGGACTAAAAGAAAAAAGAAATGGGCTTTCGGCCAAAACCAATGAAAAAATTTTCATAGACTTTTTTAATTATAATATGTAGCGATTTCAAATGTTTTAATTTATTGCCTAGCTCTCGATGGTTGTGGTATCACTAAAGAAAACGTATTTAACCGTTGCAACGTACGGGTATTTTTTCTAGTTTAATAAAAAATATGAGACCCACATATCATACTCTTCTTCCCCTCTTCCTCTCTCTATGTTCTCTCTCGCGTGCAGTGCGCACGCGCGAGGATGGGCGGTCAGCGAGGACAGCGCGAGAACGGGCGGTGGGCGTGCACGGGCGGCGTGGACTGCGCCGCGGTCTGGGAGGGAGCAGTGGCGGCGAGGGACACGGAGGCGGCGACCGCTCGGGATGCCAGCCGCCGCCCCATCCCAAGCCCCACCTCCATCCGCTCATCTTCGAGGACCACGGACGCGCCTAGGTGTATCCCTGACGGTGACGTCGGCACGGTGAAGGAGACGGAGTACGTTATCTCCTCCACCGGCCGTTGCCCCCATCCGGAGCCCCACCTCCAGCCGCATCCACCACGGCACCACCGCCCGCTGTCCTTATCTCGAGCGCGGACAGCGCGGCGTCGCGCTTGAACCTCTCCAGCAATGGCAGCAAGCCATCGTTCCCTTCCTGCTGGCCGACGCGAAAGGCGATGCTGGCGTGCGCGAGGTGCGGCGCAGCGTCGGGGCAGTACAGCTCCAAGCTGTCCTCTGGACGCTGGCCGTCTCGAGATTGGGGAGGTACGTAGTGGAGGAAGCATATGGTCAGGTCGCCGCCGTCGACGACGACAAGCTCCCGGAGGTCTGGCAATGGTGCGTCGATCACGACCTTGGAGTTACGGCATTGGCAGGAGACGAGGTGGAGGGCTCGGAGCGACAGCCAGCTCGCCACGGCGTGCTCGTAGACAGCCGCCCACGACGTCGTGGTGCTCGACGCCCCACGCGTCGACAGCCGTGGTGATCACTGATCAGGCGGTTGATGTGGTTCGAGCTGTTGGTGTCAATGAACTCCACCGTGAGCCTGTCGACGCTCCGGCGTGGTGTCATCCGCGCCGCCTGCCCACGCCCACCGCCCATCCTCGCCATGCGTGCTGCACGAGAGAGAGAAAGAGAAAGAGAGAAGAGGGGAAGAAGAGTATGATAGGTGGGTTCCATATTTTTTATTAAATAAAATGCTGACTCTATTGCCACGCGTCGGCCATGTTGGCCAAACTGTTCTAGATTGGGTCGAGAGGGTATTGAAAGTTGAGAGTGAACGATGACTAGTTTTTGGGTTTATGGGTAATTCGGTCGACCGCAATAAATCGGGAGTTGTAATTCGTACTTTTTCCATAACAAATGCCTTCGCCTTCCAAAGATCGTGTTAGTGTAACATGACGAGAACTCTAGCGATTCAAAACCCATGCCCATGCATATTTATTTCATTTTCACGTACGACAGTACTCAGTTGCTATGAAACTCTCCGGTTTTCCCAAGCTTAGCTAAAATGGGGTCGATTATCATTGCTTAAAATTTCAGTGAGTCATTTATATAAAATTTAATAGGCTTATATTCAAAAATTAATGCTCATAAGAGTGATTGTGAAAAAGCAGTGGGTCAGCACCGCTAGCGGCGCCTATTTGTTAGTTATTTCAAATTTTCTTTTCAGAACTAGTTATTTCAATTTGAGTACAATGTAGTATCACTACAAATATATGCTCCCTCCGTCTCATATTTCTACTATTATAAAAGTTGAAAATGTTTTTACCAGAATTTTGGTACATCATCTGTGTTGGATTAGGTTTTGAGTTGGGTCTTTAATTTTTTTTCTTTGCCTACTTAAAAAAATTGAAGGGTTATGAGCCCACGTTAGTACAGATCCTCTCATCTGTGACGGCCCATCACATGCCTAGGCAACGTGGGCTGTCAGAACAAAGTCATCTCAATCGGGCCTAAATTTTCGCCGTTGTAGATGTACTCGTCGGGGTGCATATTCCTATAGCCCGTCACCGATGACACTCATATGTGACGGGCTCGAAGTTAGGCCCGATTGAGATGACCTCCACTATCTCAATCGGGCCCAAATACTGAGCCCGTCACAGATGAGTGTCATCGGTGACGGGCTCTAAAGAAGGCCCGATTGAGATGGCCTTAATGCCCGTCACCAATGACTCTTATCGGTGTCGGGCTTCTATTTGTGCCCGTTAGAGATTAGTGTGCACCCGTTAGAGATGATATTTTTTGGCTCGATTGAGATATACTTTGCACACTATATATACTCCAGCAGTCCGTTGTGTGTAGTTATCCCACTGTTCACTATTTTGGTGGGAGGTTGAAGGGGGCAAATTTTTGTAATTTTTTTGCAAACTAAAACAGGAAAATCATAAAAGTAAGTAAAATGGTACTAATCATTTCCTATTAATTTAGTAGTACTTATGTTATGAGATGTTAACTAATATTTTGTTCATTGTTTAGCGATGGATCAAAGTTGGATATACACGACTGGCTTGAGGCGTCAGTACAAGGAGTATAGAGATGGCGTATTAAGTTTTATGAAAGCCGTGGAGGAGGATAGTATAAGAAGAAACGACAAGTACATGTGTTGTCCATGTAGGAATTGCAGGAATGAGATTTTGTGGGAAGATGAAAAGGAAGTACACGATCAATCGAGAGATACACATGTTGGGTGAAGCATGGAGAGCAAGATCCGGGTACTGATGGTGCAGCTGCAAACAGAAGTGGTGCAGACAATCATGAAGAAGGAGATGAAGAAG